CCTTATTTTCGTATTTAAAGTATTAACTATTTTACTATCCGTTTCATCATAATTGTTATGTTGATATCCACTGCAACTATGCAACGGGGCTTGCAAAGCAACGCTTCTTAACCCGTATAAATTCATTGTTCATTGATCTTAACCTGTCTATAGCGTCCATCTGTCTAATCCAACGGCGACCACACTCTTTTGGTTCCAGGCTTTCTAGCACATGCTCAAGGTGACCACCATTAGCATGACTGGCCGAGATTGTGACTAGAGATATCATGATAGTCTGCCACCGTATCACACAGATATAGATTTCGTTTCAATTTGTTATAATAGCCCCGGAAAACACACACTGCACTGATTCATTATGGCCCAGGTTCACGCATTCTGTGTATCCTTATTGGATTTCCCATAGGCTTGTTGCTATCCCCGCTATCGCAACTGACCAGTTCACGTTGCGTAACTCCCAATATCACTGGTTTATTCTCACTTCAGAGGTCACAATGCATTCACACTAAACTAGACCGGTGACAAATTACCCCCCCCCCTGAATATCCGCCTATGTAACTAATGCAATGTATCCTGCTATGGGCTGTGCAGTGAACCAATCCGATAGAGCCATGTTACACAACAAAATAGCCCTAAGATTCCCCTCGCGCGCTCTGGGTTTTGTGATACAGTTGTACAGTCGCAAGCAGTGTGATTCACGTTCTGTGTTTATTTTGTACTGTGTAACCAGTCGGTTGTCAGCACTGAGAGGGTACTGTTGTGGTGCGTCCTTACTGAATATTTTTGTTCATTTTTATAGTTCTTTTTGAAGATTCTTCCGTAGGACAAAATGACTAGTTTCACGTCAGCAAAGCCAAAGGCATTAATACTTGAAGAAGGAATGTCAGTGATTCGACTAAGTCAAGAAGGAGAAACTTAGCAAGTAGTGGCAGAAAATTCCGGCGTAGGAAAGAAAGAGATCCTTCTAAGATGAAAGCCGCGTTTTTGAATGACTTTGAGCACAACGCACCAAAACTGAAAAGAAAGAATGGTAGAAAAATGGGTAACAAAGACATAAATGCACTTTGCTAGCAATGGTGCCAGTCAGCCCTGACGAGAAAAATCCCATTAGCTGGACCCATGATTCAAGAAGGAGCACTGCACTTCGCAAAAGAATTGCAAAGTCCAGACTTTAAAAGGTCAATCTGTTGGCTGCAGGCATTCATCAGTACACACAACTGTGTTTGGTAAGGAATCGGACAAAAGCGGTAACTCAGATATGTGTGCTGCATCCGACTGGACAGGAAAATTATCAGAAATATGTTCTGGCTACACAGCTCAAGACATTTTTAAGTAAGATGAAACTGTTTTGTTATCCAAGGCGACGTCGGATAAATCTTTTGCCAAAGGAGAGCAATGCGCAGGTGGGAATGGACACAAGAAGCGTATCACAGTCATGCTGTTCACCAAGATGTTGGGGGGACGAAAATCGACTTTAGTGCCTGAGAAATCAGCCAACCCTTGCATTTTTCAAAGCATCAACAATAGCAAAATGACATGAATGACTGCAGCAGTTCAAAGATTCACTTCACAGTTTTGACAAAAGAAATACAGAAAATAGCGCAACCTAATACTGTTTGTTGACGATGTCACTTGCCATCCCAAATTCCAGCTACATAATGTCAAATTACAGGTCCTGGCAACCAACATCACTACGGTAGTTCAATCCCTCGACCAACATGTCATTCAAGCGATTAAATTGAACTTTGGCTAAAAGTCGCTTCTGCGTCTTATTACGATCATGGAATCTCACAAAAATATATCCGGAACTAAACTCATGAAACGAGTAAGTCGTCGTCGTGTTCTGGATAGCTCCTGCATGGAAGGAGGTGGAGAACTCAACAAACTATCTTTTTGTAAAGGGGGGTTTTCTTGTCCTGCAGAAATACTTTGTGACAGAGCAATGCAAACTGGATCTGAGACATACGAGCAACTGTTACTTCCTTCAAACTCTAATGCTTTGGATAATCTTTCAAAGGAATGGATTGGATGCCAACTGGCTGGAAGCCATATGGTTGGTAAACGTGTAACACAACAGAAATAAACTGGAACCTGCCTGCCAAATCAAATTTCAGCAGCTGAGGATGTGAATAATAAATCAAACGATGAACAGGAACAGGATTCTACAGACGTTCTGAAAACGCATACCACAGACGCAAAGGGTGCTGTTGATATTTTGCGCTCCTGCGCAATGCATCGCAGACACACTGACATGCTTGAACTTATCATGAACGTGAGGGAAAAATTAAATTATCTTTTATTTCAACTGCCAAGCAGCAAACCACTACACCTAATTTTTTAATCTTTTGAGAAATGATTAGAACAATAGAAATGAGTGTGTACGATTTTTCCAAAGCTTGTGGATTTTGATGATTTGCAGTGGGGTTTTTAAGATGTTGACTCAAACTGTAACTTATTTAATTTTTGTTACTCATATATCCCACATTATACGCTAGTTTTGTTGTTGCCTTAATTAGAAGCTAAAACGGATTGTAGAAGCCATCGATTTGCAGATCAAGTTCGCGATTTGAAAGCTTATCGTACAGGCGGAGTCGAACATGAGTAGTGCCGCCCACGAATGAACCTGTCCATGGCGATCACCTGTCCATGCGACCACTTTTTGTCGGTTCCATTGTATGGTTGCCTTGGACAGGTTTGACTGTAATATGAAACTGGTTCAGTGCACTGCGACAGAGTTCATAGATTAAGGGATGGTCTGTTTGCGGCAGCTTTGTAAATGAAAAGCCATGAGACAACAACAATCTCACTCCCTGCTAAATCATTCATTTGACATCAACACATAGTCACTCCACCGCAGCCTTCGCCGCGTTTCGAGTGACCTAAAGGTGGTCCATGCATTTTCTATTTTGGCGACCGTCATCATGACTGCTACTGATCAATTCATATCCGCGGTGCTCCTATAGTTACATTTATCTCAAGTACACCCGCTAGTTTCTGCAAAATCTGTGGATTTGTGCTCTAAACGTTACATCAGTCAGCGGAAGGTGATCGGCTCTGTCCCAAGCTGTTGAGTCGTCTCGTTACCCGAAATTTTGGCGTTACATGGCAAAACAAATTACCGTAATTGCTAATGCTCCGACACGCGCTCAAAATTCAGCTTACAAAGCGAGCAGTTGTACGGCGTTAAGTGCCGATGGTTAACTTCAGTCTCTTAAACCCACATAATTGTTAGACTCACAGTAGCGATGTCAGTGATGAAATCTCAGCTGCAAATGGACGATTACTCCTAATGTATTAACGTTTGGAAACTGACCTACTTTGCGCTGCGGTCCTCAGACTTGGGTGTTTTATAGACACATGATGGGACATGGAACGAACGTTGAGGTTGAATGAGCGAAATTAGGCTGACCTGGAAAAAACCAACAAACCTACTTTTCGAAAATTAATAGGGGATTTTGAACTTTATGCGCGATGGTTGTGGTCTGAAGAGCCACCTGGATATCGATACCATTCTCTTCTGTCTTCATTGCATACAGTATTTTCCTGCAACGTTCACGGAGTACGACTGCCTTCACACTCACCAATCGTCCAATGTCTTCCAACTTATCCTCAAGCCACAGTTCTCTCCTCGTTGGACTATCTATTCGATTTAGAGATCTGTTGGACCGTAGCGTTTGCTTGTCATCTTCTTTTGATTCTTCTAGTAGACGACATGAGAGGACTTTATCATCAGAACATGGAACATTCTTGGAAATTATCGTAACTCTCGGTGCACAAATTATCTTTTGCACCTCCGTGACTTCATTTGTCTGTCTTAGTTCAGTTTTTGGGCGTGAGCTAGCAGTAGCGGGCTTCAGGCCTGAAGACAGAGCTCCAGTGTGACCACGGGCCGGACAGCTGACTGCTGACTTCATGATGGTTGTCGTCCGTATGCGTTTGCATTCGACAACTCTCTCATCTTCCGTTAACCAACTATTACAGTGAAAAATGTATTTCCTGTTCTTCTCCAACTCGTCGACCGTGACGGTTTTGATTAGCCAATTGTAGTTGCCTATAAAATAATAACAATAATAATAGTAATAATAATAATAGGTCTATTTCTCGTTAAGCTTGAAGCTGCGTCTATATTTGGCACAGATTATGTATGTACCAGTAATACCATGCTCTTGTATTTACAATGTTACGATGTAGCGAATAAACAACCATGGAATATTCCTCGTCCAACTAGACGTTACCATTCTTGATGTACGGCGGAATCGCAAGGAGCAGATGTTTATTAAGTGAAATTCCAAACCAATTTTCTAACTTCTCCTTGGTGGACATGACTAACTGGCAGGTTAAGTCTTTCGGGAAGATTTAGAGGTTGTCAAAAAATTACAAGTATGGATAAATCCAAATATATCAGTGAATTAATACGGCCATACGTGGGCGGATGTTTTGGTTAGTTCATTATCATATAAAACTCACACAGGTTAGGCGTAGTATGCTCGTGTTTGGCAAAGCGGAATATCTATGGACATGGACTAAATAAAAGCGTTGGACAAAGCACATCTGAATCATTTCGCTTGCGGCATAAAAACAACATGTGGCACCCATTTTACTAATCGATAGACCTATGGATAACTACATGCATTTATTATATAATAGGTATTCGAAAGCACGCGTTCACTGAACATGTTGCTCGGCAGACAGACGGGACACGCGGTTGCTTTCAAAGAAAACCTGCTCTGCTGTCAATTAAATACCAACTCGTGCACAGTTGGTGAATTGTGCGTTCATGGGTCATTGGCTCAGGCTTCTGGCTTATGCTCTCCAAGTTTGGGGCCTCAGTTCAGGTACCTCACCTGTTTGCGTACCTACATATTGTCGCAACATGCACACAACCAACAACGGTTGGATTTAAACAAAGCATCGGCACAATGTACAAGTATACTACTCATGTAGTTCCTTCTGTCTTTTTATCTGGCAATTTGCATGGTATTCCTGAACAAAACAGCATTCTACTAATGCCGTTTGTCAAGCACGGTCAAGCCAGCTGAATATAAGCACATACAACTTACCCGGGTATACACTATAAAGCTTCAGATTAATATGCAGCATAGTTAAGAGATGCTGCTTGTTGGAAAGCAACCGATCCATTACTAATTGAACTTAGAGGCGACGGTTAATATTCTACCAGATAAAAACCGTTCTGCTGTACGGTTGGAAACATGACAGCGCTCTCTTGGAATTTCTAATAGCTTGATACACCGATTTATAAGAGACTTCATATCGGAAGCTGCCAAACCGTAGAATGGAATAAAGCATCAATTGGGGATCGAGTGGTTCCAATGGAGCTTATGGCAAGACTGCACGATGATTTCATTCAAGAGATTCTCATTGTCTTTTAGCTGCAACCAACTTGTGCATTCGTATCTACTAGCCACATAGGGTATCGACCTAGTTTCTGACGTATGGCAAACTAGCGCATAGTTCGAAGTAGTGTATGGTCAATTAAACACGTCACTTTAGTAGTTCGAGAGCTATCCGTAGCTTTGCACTCAAGGTTTTCACCAGAATTGGAACGTTCATCTACACCCACCATCGTAGTAAAGATGAAAGAACCAGTAGACCGAATCATCTATACGGAGGTCACAGCAACGCTTTCGGCAATTTACGGGTTTAAATAGACAGAAAACCACTAAGGACAAGAAATGCACTGCTAAGCTAGAAGGTATACAGTCACTACTACTAAGGACTCGGTTTCCTCGCGGAGATCAATCTCTCCTATTCCTTTTGGATTATCACGCTGAGTCATGGGTCGTGTTGTCTAACCTCGTTCGATACATGAGTACTGAATAATAGAGGGAAGCAGCAAGAAATGTTTCTGTGTCGCTGCATCTAAAATCTTTCACGTACAATGACCTGATATTTTGGACAGCTTTCACTATATTTCATACCGGCAAAGTGTTCGTCCAGGAATTTCTTGAATTCCAACACCGAGTTTGTCTCTACTACGTGTTGCGGCAAGTTGTGCCATATAATCACTGCTCTCCGTTCGAAACAGAGTCGGTGGATGACCCACTTCAACTCCCGCACTACAAGCTTGTACCCATGTCCTCGTGGGTTGCTGGGTGTGTGCAAGTGAAGCAGCAGCCTCAACATGGGGTACTCTTGGCGTGCCATGATGAGGTTAACCCGCAATGGACGATAAGACAGGGGGTAAATTCTAAATTGCTTGTGCCGGTCTTCCTACGGCCCAGCTCATAAAGTGGGGATGAGCCTGGTGACCGCATGCTGTACGCGCTCAATCCTTTCTAGGTCGCCCCGGGTGATAGGACAGTATGTGGTTGAACCCTAATCTAGCACTTGAGACGAAGAGTCAAGTGGTAATATCTTCGGGTCAATTGTTAGAGGTGCGCCTGAGCGCCCGAAGCATGTGAAGGCCGTTTCGGTAAAGCTTATTCGTGTTGTTCATGTACTTTAGGTCGCAACGTAAGAGCACACCGGGGTATTTTACGAGGCGCGAGATGTAATCGTTGACCTACCATAGTGTAGATTCGACTGTGTTCAAACTTACACAGCCTCATGACTAGTGACTTGACCGGGTTTATCAGGAGGTTGACATGAAGAGGCGATCAAGATCCTGCTGAAGCAGATCAGTCATCGGGTGCGCTAATTATTCTCCACACCACAGCGCACAAGACAAACGGAGAAGCTAAGGCACATCGTTTATACGGATCATGAAAAAAGAGCCGCAGTACAGTAGCTTGGAGCACGCAGCTGCTCGAGGAATGACAGTCGGTCAGATGGTTGTCGACCTGAATCCTCCACTTTCGACCAACAAGGAAATTCCTGATCCATCAGTGCAGCGAGCCGACAAGACTGCACACCTCATGATTCACCTTGCCAACGCCTTCATGAAGTCATGTAAATGGCGTTGATCGACTTTCCTTGGTTCAGCACTCGCAACCATTTTCACCTCGTCAACAGCAAGTTGTTGATGCATGAGTGACCTTTCACGAAACCATGTTGTGGAAGGAGGGGGTCAAGAAGTTTTTCGATGCGAGAAGCTGCAGCATACTCTTCTACACGATCTACCCAAGCGTATTTGAAAAAACAGTGGTCAGGCAGATCGGCTGGTAGTTATTCACTTTGCTTGAGTCACCAGCTTTTGGTAGTGGTATTGCGACTGAGAAATTCCAGTAGCTCGGTAATGAACCAGTGGATATTGACCTGTTTTACAGCTCAGCCACGGAAGGCGAGATGATGGTCGATAATGACTTGAGGATCAGTGGGTGGATTCCATCTATCCCGGCAGGCTTTGTGCAGTCGAGACTGGTCAGCACCTTGTGTAGATCTTCAGTTTTGCAATCTACGCTGTCTAGTTTAGTTGGGGCGGTACCCGTTGAACTAGGTACCGAAGCGAAGTGCTCCGCTAATGCGGACGCACGATTCGTGCTCGAGTTTAGAGGCTGCCCATCTGAGCCCTCCAACACTGTCACATTGTCTTCAGGCCTCAGGCGCCGCTTAACATAGCCGAAGGTTCTCTTGGAAGCAGCTTTTGCAGTGGCTGCAAGCTGCTCTGCAAAGTTTCGGCGGCTTGTGTTTTCGCGTTTCGCAAATATTTCACTGTCTCTTGTACACCTCGCAATCATCGTCAGAGCCGGAAAACACGAATTTGTTCCATAGTCTGCGTCGCCGTCCAGCCAGTTTGCTGTACTCTTTGTCGAACCAATGTGACTTGACTGGTCCAACTTTGCGATATTTGAGGGGTACAAATAAGGCGCAGAACGATTTCACACCCTCTTTAATGAGGGTATGACATGTCTCAAGATGAATGCTTTGGTAACAGCCAGTCCATCTGACTCGCAACTCGAGCGAGGCCATTAAAGTCCGCCTTCCAGTCGTTGACGGCTGGCTCTAGGGGAGGAGAACACGGCAGCGACATCTCCAAGCTAGCCATGACCATGGAGTGGTTACTTGGTTTTAGGCGCTCCAAGACCTGGATCTCATGCACACGTTGCTCGCATCTGGTCACTAGCAGGTCTGAGCACGATGGAGTCGCGCGTCGGCTCGTGATTCCGGTGGCCGTGTCTAATTGGTACAGGAACCGTATCATTTACCAGGAGCAACTTGTGTCCCAGAAGACCTACTGCTATCCGCACTCACTGGAGAATGGCACTATCATAACTAAAGTACATGATCCAACTTGGGGAACAGACAGCATGTCAACTAAGTGATGCGAATGGCAAATAGTTTGAATAGGGTGTGTTTGTTCATCTTTCATATCAGTCCATTTTATCAGCTGGTAACTGTTCGCCGAGGCACGGTGGATAACGCTGCCTTGACACACGTTACTTATAGGTACTCCGCCGAGACCTTAATCTAGGAGCGTGATGCTCATCAGCCAGGACTATCCTTTCAGTAAGATTCTTTATCCTGTTATAAATCATCGATGACTTGCCACCTTGCAGTTTCGCACAAATAGATAGAGCAGTGATATTAGGACTGAGGCGGTCGATGAGCATCCGGCACATTGCCTATCTTGGATAAGAGGTAAACACACTCCGTAGTGCGGCAGCTGGGATTTCTTCCGAACAAGAGCTGCTGAACTTTGTATCGCTGACCGGGTGTCCCCAAAAAACATGAACAGTACTGCGAATGACCAGTGATCGAAACCGGCCAATCACTAATTATTCTTAACGTTCAGATGATTAAATTTAAGGCCCAGAATATACCCGAAAAATTTCAACGAATAACGGGCAATGCTGATATTCAGCAAAGCAAATATTCTTATTGCACTCAGATGAATCAAGATCAGAAATCAGTTCAGGGTTAAGAATTCTTTTCGGTAAACTCTCTTCAGACCCAAACGTTTACATAACACTGACTGTGTGGGGCAAGCGTCAAATCAGGCTGGGATTGATTTCGAAGGTGTTTGAACGGTCAAGGTCGATGACTAAATGCGGCTACAGATGGCAAGAAAAGTGCACCAAAGGAAACTTAATACACAAGCCTCAGCAGCCTAAAGTAAATAGGTAAGGTCACGAAGGGAATTAAGTAACCATGCCAGTCGGCCACTGTAGCAGTATCAGCCGTATGAGTCGTTTATCTACACATAGTTCCGGCTTCAGATGGTGGATGTAAATAGCCTCGGCATTAGACAAGATTTGCTTGGGGAAGTCTTGCGAGAAGCGTTCAGGTAGTAGGTAGATGACTTTAAAGTCATGCTCCGATGCAGTATGGCCACTTTCGAGGAGGTGCGACATGATTGAGCTGTCTGAGGACCTCATTTCGCCTTTGTAAAACCACGCCGGAATGTGTTCGCGAATCCTTCGGGATAGACGTCTCGTTGTGCGACCCACGTATCGTGCACCACAGGAGATGAGCTGATAACGAGCATAACGGTCACGATGCAGCTATTCAAGAGTTTGCAAGCATGGTTGTACGTACAATCTCAAGCGGTGCGAATAAGTTTTCAAGTATCATCAGACGTAGAAGTAAGCTGCATATCGCCTTAATGGCAGGTGATAACAGCGCCGGAAAGCTCCTAGGTGCTTCGCTTCGTCTTCAGATGCTCATGATTTATGGGTACATTACCGAAGGCGTCGCTGATTCTCTGAGCTCTTAACGGTATCCGGGTCCGCCTGAAGTCAGATCGTTAACTCCTCTTGTGCTTAAAGTACCTTGTGAACTAGTGTATGTCCGGCCGATACTTCTGTGTACTTCTGCTACTACCGTCGTGCGGATGACTTCACATCTAGAGGAACCCTTCATTTCGTGCTCACAGGGAAGCCTAGCTTATTGCGTATTAAACCATAGCACTGTCTGATGGTTTCAGTCACAAGCCGAAGTGATCACATACCGTCGTACATTAGTTCCACAGATGCTCTGAGGCCATGTTCTAATTCACCAAAAGATGTCAGCAACACGGTCCCCAAGATACCCATGCACCTCAATCTGACGGCACATCTCCATTGACGTGAATAACATTTAGCCTGCAGCGAATAGTATCTCCTTTAGAAATCTTCGAAAAGGAGCGTATATGGTAGTTGCGGTCAACCGCATACATAATATACCGTTTGACAGTGGAATGTTGTAACAACGACTGGGCATCATTTGGTTGTGAGAATCACCCACACTGACCTTCCAGTAATCCGGACGGTGTGTGTCCTTTCTAATGTAGTACTAAGGACATAGCGAATTGTATCATTAGGCCCAGTATTGTATTCATGTAAGAGAATAGACAGGTAGCCTTAGAAGGGCGGTTGAACTATGGTACAACTAAGATCTGTTCCAACCTCTTCTATGACGTTGAGAACCTAACATCTAGTCTGTGAATGTTTCATGAAGATGTTAAGGTTAAATCTGTATGCTAATATTTCGAGGGAAAGAATTGCAATTAAGAGTTAATTAAGAGTTATGAGTTATCTAGCCAGACAGGATGCGCATAGTGTTATAGATAGAGTGTAATCTGTAAGTGCGCACATCCTCAGTAAAGAACGTAAGTTCCAGAAGCTTATGGCCTGAAGGACACACAGGGAGTTGGAGAAACGTTGACCGGCTGCCTCAGGCGAATAATGCAAGCCAAGCTTTCACAAAGAGCGAATCGAAAAGTGAACCTGGTGGACACCTACCGAGATTATATGGACTTCCAAAGTTCCAACTAAGGCGCCCAATGCGTCCAATATTGATATGGTGGTCACCCAGCATTTGTTGGCCCAATGATGGTGAAGAAATTGCAACGGTTACGGGATATGGTTTGCAATTATTACTGAGAGACCCCTTCGAATTCAATGAGGAGACATCTGGACTCAACTTTACTAACAAAAGTATGATGTCTTTTGATGCCCAGTCGTTGTTTACAAACATTCCACTGCTCAAAACGGTATATTATGTATGCGAGTTGACCCGGCAACTACCAATATACGCTCCTTTTTCGGAAGATTTTCTAAAGGAGATACTATTTCGCTGCAGGCTAAATGTTCAATTCACGTTCAATGGTGAGATGTGCCGTCAGATTGATGGAGTGGCCATGGGGTATCCTTGGGGACCGTTGTTGGCTGACATCTTTTTGGTGAAATTAGAACATGGCCCACTCAGGACGCACATCTGTGGAACTGAAATGTACGTACGGTATGTCGATGACACCTTCGTGCTTTGTGAATCTGAAAACCATGCAGAACAGTTGCTGATGGCTTTTAATGACGCACATAAGAATCTACGCTTCACCTGTGAGCACGAAAATGGAAGGCGTTTACCTTCCTTAGATGTAGAAGTCATCCGCAACTCGGACGGGTCATGTAGCAGAAAGGTACACAGAAAGTATACGTGGACCGGACAGTACACTAAGTTTCACAAAGCAGTACTTTTACAGCACAAGAGGAGTTTAATCCGATCTCTTGACTTCAGGGCGCGCACTCCGGATACCGTTAACGAAGAGCTACAGAGAATCAGCGACGCCCTTCGTGTAAATGGTTACCCCGATAAGTTTATCATGAAGCATCTGAAAGAACGAAAGCGAAAGCCACCTAGGAGCATTGCTCCCAAGCAAGCGCTGTTTATACACCTGCCATTTAAGGGCGATAATGCAGCTGATACCTTATCTCGACGTCTGAATGATACTGTTGAGAAAACTTATTTCGCAGCCCGCTTGAGAATTGTTAACCGTAACAACCCATTGCTTGCAAAACTCTTGAAAGATAGTCTGCCATCGTTGACCCGTTCAATGCTCGTTTATCAGTACTCATGCTCCTGTGGTGCACGATACGTGGGTCGCACAACGAGACGTCTATCCCGAAGGATTCGCGAACACATTCCGGCGTGGTTTTACAAAGGCGAAATGAGGTCCTCAGACAGCTCAATCATGTCGCACCTCTTCGAAAGTGGCCATACTGCATCGGAGCATGACTTTTAAGTCATCTACCTACTATCTGAACGCTTCTCGCAAGACTTCCCAAAGCAAATCTTGTCTAATGCCGAGGCTATTTACATCCACCATCTGAAGCCGGAACTACGTGTAGATAAACGACTCATACGGCTGATACTGCTACAGTGGCCGACTGGCATGGTTACTTAATTCCCTTCGTGACCTTACCTATTTACTTTAGGCGGCTGAGGCTTGTGTATTAAGTTTCCTTTGGTGCACTTTTCTTGCCACCTGTAGCCGCATTTAGTCATCGACCTTGACCGTTCAAACACCTTCGAAATCAATCCCAGCCTGATTTGACGCTTGCCCCACACAGTCAGTGTTATGTAAACGTTTGGGTCTGAAGAGAGTTTACCGAAAAGAATTCTTAACCCTGAACTGATTTCTGATCTTGATTTATTTACCTGATATCTCCATGAGAGCACAGCAGTTTCAAATCTCATTCTCGCAAGATCCTTGATTTGTGAGATGCTTTTGGTAGCTCGGATGTTGCGTAAGGTACTTGTGCACAATGGTTTTCAGCCCATTTGTCCTCATTTTTTGTCTATCAACTTCGCCCCCCCCCAGTACGGTCACTCATGCGCCTGGTGATGCATTGCATTGTGCTCTGAATGGTGAATTACATCTTAAAGAGCATTCTCCAATTGCTTACTTGGTAGAATGCAAGTTTGCGTAGTTCGAGTGTTCTCGCCACTCCAGTGGCAAGCTGGCAGCGATTTTACCACATTCCTGTCTCAGATGTGCCTCCAGTTAATGTCTCTCAGAGGTACTTCATTCGCGCCTGGTGTTTTCAGGCACGAGACGGCAGAGTTTAACTGTGATGTGCTGCATTTGTATTATCTGCATTGTTACTTTTCGAAGCTGTGTTTTGGACCCGATGAGCAATTAAATGGTCTGAAGCAGAATGATTCTGCATTCACGCAAGTTCCATCTATCGCAAGATGAATTCCGTTGATACGGAACGAACTGACCATCAAAGGTTCAGCCATTTCATTTGTTTATGACTTAACTCAGTAAACAGGAGAATCACCATCGTTGTGAATTTGATACATATTTCTCTTAAATATGCAAAAGAGCTTGCAAGGCTAAGCACAGAAATAGCATTGCTTGCCGTTCTAGTTCACTTGACTCACGAAAACAACCACCACAAGTCTGAAACGGTTGTGTGAACTTACTTTTTTTGATTTCATATATTAATGGACTGATTTCCACTCCAACAATTTTACCGAGAGTAGAACATACTACTGCAAAATAGTCAATCTGCGGAAATCCTTCCTTTGGCTTGCGTTCCGTTTTTAAGTGGGGAGGTTCCTTGAGTGTATGCCGCTGCTTATCACTGTCCCGGGCAGCACATTTCGTATTGCGCATTATGACTGGATGTCCATCAACCATTCCGAGGCGAGCCAGCTCGGCACTTATCAGTTTAAGCTTTGGTGAAGAGCACTTTAATCCGCGCAGCACGATGCTCATTGGTGGGGTGGGATTGAGCAAATCGGAATTCTTTGCGCTAAATTTGATGCAGCTATCTTCCTCTTTCATTCGATTGTGCCGAACTGATTCGATCCGCACTCTATACACCACCTCGTTATAGCTACTGGACGATACTCGATTTGCCTGGAAATGAAAAATCAGGCAAAGGTGAATGGTGGCGTTCGGTGAGTTGTAAGTCTATTCAAAAAATTAAGAATATTAAAACCTGATGGCGTTGTGCGCAAAATGCTGAGTTGGAACTGGACTAAAACACTGGCATGTTGGTCTAACGTCAACTGACGCAGCAACTTATGTGCTTCGAGTAGACAAATCACTTGCTTAGGCGAGTAGGCGATGGTTAAAACCAAGGTAGTTTTGCATTCGTCGGATTTGTGCTCGATTTGGCAACGATACAACAAACATTGACATGTGGTGGATTTCAGCAGAAACCAGGTGTCTTATTGTGAATTGTGGACAGGCAATTCTCCCAATGTGTTCGGTAACAACCTTTGTAATTTCTGGAAACCTCCGAACTCTCAGTAATGCGGGGTAATACTTTTCATTTAGACGTCTACAAATGAAGAAAAGCTGTGGTGACTGCGGATGAGAGTTAGCGGGCTTGGATTTGAAATCCTTTGTGTTGGGAAAACCTATTTACTTGACCAATGGGATCCCGATACCCAAGGGAAGGGGGCGGTAATGGTCACGCCGATATCGCTACAGCTTTAAAAAAAACTTCCGGTAACACTGATTTAGCCCAGATTGATTGATATTTCTGGGCCAAGGCCAGCGGCAAGTAGTAGTAGTAGTAGTAGTAGTAGTAGTAGTAGTAGTAGTAGTAGTAGTAGTAGTAGTAGTAGTAGTAGTAGTAGTAGTAGTAGTAGTAGTAGTAGTAGGTAGTAGTAGTAGTAGTAGTAGTAGTAGTAGTAGTAGTAGTAGTTGTAGTAGTAGTAGTAGTAGTAGTAGTAGTAGTAGTAGTAGTAGTAGTAGTAGTAGTAGTAGTAGTAGATAGTAGTAGTAGTAGTAGTAGTAGTAGTAGTAGTAGTAGTAGTAGTAGTAGTAGTAGTAGTAGTAGTAGTAGTAGTAGTAGTAGTAGTAGTAGTAGTAGTAGTAGTAGTAGTAGTAGTAGTAGTAGTAGTAGTAGTAGTAGTAGTTGTAGTAGTAGTAGTAGTAGTAGTAGTAGTAGTAGTAGTAGTAGTAGTAGTAGTAGTAGTAGTAGTAGTAGTAGTAGTAGTAGTAGTAGTAGTAGTAGTAGTAGTAGTAGTAGTAGTAGTAGTAGTAGTAGTAGTAGTAGTAGTAGTAGTAGTAGTAGTAGTAGTAGTAGTAGTAGTAGTAGTAGTAGTAGTAGTAGTAGTAGTAGTAGTAGTAGTAGTAGTAGTAGTAGTAGTAGTAGTAGTAGTAGTAGTAGTAGTAGTAGTAGTAGTAGTAGTAGTAGTAGTAGTAGTAGTAGTAGTAGTAGTAGTAGTAGTAGTAGTAGTAGTAGTAGTAGTAGTAGTAGTAGTAGTAGTAGTAGTAGTAGTAGTAGTAGTAGTAGTAGTAGTAGTAGTAGTAGTAGTAGTAGTAGTAGTAGTAGTAGTAGTGTAGTAGTAGTAGTAGTAGTAGTAGTAGTAGTAGTAGTAGTAGTAGTAGTAGTAGTAGTGTAGTAGTAGTAGATAGTAGTAGTAGTAGTAGTTGTAGTAGTAGTAGTAGTAGTAGTAGTAGTAGTAGTAGTAGTAGTAGTAGTAGTAGTAGTAGTAGTAGTAGTAGTAGTAGTAATATGGCGTTATAAGATGAAGTATGTAAAATGTTGTAATGGATGATAGGAGTCTTGGTACGGAGTTAGAGGAGTGAAGTTATTGGTCATGGGCTGGGTTGGGTTAGTAGTAGTAGTATAGTAGTAGGGAGAGTGGTTGTGGAGTATTGTTGTAGTTGTGTTAGTTGAAGTAGTAATGTGATGGTGGGGGAGTACAGAAGTGGGTGAGAGGGTGTCGTATGGGGATAGGGTAGAGTAGTTTGGTTTATGGGGTTGATTGTATTAGTAGGGTATATTGGAGGAATAGGGTGGAAGGGGGGAGGAATGGGGAGGATTGTGGGAGTGGAATGGGGGTAGAAGATGAGGGGGGGAAAATGGAGGGTTGTAGGTAGGTGAATTATGAGAGTGTATAGTAGGATAGGGTGGGATGGGGGGGATGATAATTGGGGTTGGAGGGAATAATAGAGGAGAGGAATGATTGTGAAGGGGTAGTAGTTGTGTGAGAGTCAGAGGGGTGTAGAGTGGGGAATGGAGGTTGGTTAGGTAAGTGATGAGGTTAGGGATATTATTTTAATGGGGGGGGTGGTTTGTAGGGATGGAAATTGTGGATAGGAGTTGAGGATGGTAGTGGTTAGAGTGGGGAATAGTTTATAGGTGAGGGTGAAGAAGGTTGATTAAGGATGAGGTTGGGGATGTTTGGTAGTATATGGTAGGAATAGAGTTGAGGAAGGGGTAGAGGATAAAGTATATTGTAGGTGGGGGGTTCGGTGGGGAAGGTTTGGAGAAAGGGTGGGGGGTTTGGTGTAGGAGAGTAGTAGAATATTGGAAGATTTGTGGTATTTGGGGAGGGTGAGGGAAGGTGGAGTTAGTTAGTTTAGGAGGGGGGGGTGTTGGAAGGATAATGTTATATGGAGAAATGGTGTAGTTTAATGAGTAATGGGATTGGGGGGGATAAGGATTGGGTATAGGGGGGATGGGTTTTTGGAATTGAAGGTTGATGGTTAGGGTATAGGAGTGGAGTTGAGATGGGGAATGTAGGTGGTGGGAGGATTAAGAAATTAGTTGAATGTGGTGGGGGGATGTAGAGGGTGTGAGGATAATTGGTTGGGAGTGTGATGATGATGTTGAGTTGAGGAGATGGGAGGAGGATGATAAAGGATGTTGAGAGTTAATTTTGGGGGGGGGTTTAAGGAGTGTATGGAGTATGGTTAGGGGAGGAGGGTGGGGAGTTGGGGTTGGTGGGTTGGGGTATGTGGGATGAGAGGGAGATATAAGGGGAGTGGGGTATGAGGTTGGGAGGTGGTTTGAGGGAATGTGTAAAGATAGAGGAAGGTGGGTGGTTGGTTTGGGAGAGGTTGTGGGGAGGGTGGGGGGGGGAGAGGGATAAAAGGAGGGTGTTGATTAGAATGTTTGATGGAGTGATTAGTGATTTTGAGGATAGGTGGAGTGTTGGATTAGTGTGGGGAAGGGTGTTTGGGGAGTGGGGATTGGTGGGAGTGAGGTTGTGGGTGAATAGATGAAGAGAATGTAGTTTAATAGGGGAGGATAGGTGTGTGGATAGTAGGGTGTGAGAGTTGATTTGGTGGAATTGTAGGTGTGATTAAGTTTGTTTAGTTGAAAGAGTGTGGGATATGGTTGGAGTGAGAAGGGAGGGTTTTGGGTATTGTTAGTGGAGAAAATTTGTTGATAGGGAGAGGATGAATTTGGGGGGAGTTATGAGAGGGTGAGGGGTTGTGAGAATATAAGAAGGTAGGTTGTGAGAAGTGTTGAAGGAGTTAAGATGAAGGTTAGAGGATTGAGGAGTTGAGATGATTAGGAAGAGGATAGGGTGGATGGGTTAGTAATGGGGTATATTGGTAGATGGGTAGTGGTGGGGTAATGGGTTAGAGTGGTTTGGAGGAAATAGGAATGTAAAGAGGGGGGGGGTGAGGTGTAGATGAATAAGATATTTGGTAAGATAGTATAATAGGAAGTAATGGTAAGTTGGTGGGGTTTTAAGATGGGAATTGTGGTGATAGTGAGAATGAGAGTTTGGATAGAGATTAATAATGGAGAGATGAAGGAGTAGGAGGGAGGTATGAAGGGGGGTTTAAAAAGAGGGGATTGAGGGAAGAGTGTGAGGGAGAGGAGTTATAGATTGTTATGATTTGAATTGTAGGATTTGAGAGGGTGGTTAGATATGTAGGGGAATTTGGGGATGAGAGGAAGTGTATTGAATGTGGGGGAATAGGAGGGAGGTGGGATTAGGTGGGATGTGAATGGTTGTAGTGTAGAAAGGTATGTTTGATGGGAGGGGTGTATATGGGGTGGGATTGGTAGAAGGGTGGTTAAGTTATTTGAGATTTGTGAGTTGATGGGGGGGGGATGGTATGGATGAGGGGTTAGGAAGTTAGTGGGAGGAGGGGGGAAAGTATTATTAAGGGGGGTATGGAAGATAGGGGGAGATTGATTGGAATGTATTGGAAGTATAGGGGAGGATGATTAGTTGGTGTGGGTTGTTGTGGAGGGGTGGTGAATGGGGGGGTGAGGAGTTAGGGTGGGAGGGAGGAGTGAATAGGGATTTTAATTTAATGTTTTAAAAAGTGAGGGGAAAGGTATTGTATTTTGTGGGGTGGGGGGGGGTGGGGGATGGTGGTGGGATGGGAGGGGGAGTGTGGGGGAGGGGGTGGGTGGGGAATAGTAAGAAATAAGGCAGTGGAATGGGGGGGGGTTTGAATAGTTGATGGGGTAAATGAGTAAGTTTGGAAGTTAGGTGGGGTGATGTAGTGTTGGTAGGGTAGAGTTTGTGGTTTGTGGGGTATAATAAAGGTTGGGTGTGGTTTGGGTGGGGGTTTTTAGGAGTGTGAGGAATTAATTGAGGGTAGGTTGTGGGAAAATGGGTTGGAGGAAGAGGGTTGAGAGGAAAGGATGTAAGGTTGTTTAAGATGTGAATAATTAGGGGGTAATTTGTTAGAAGGAGGAATGTGTTTAATTTGGATGGGTGAGAAATGGTGGGGGTGGAGGAAGATGGTTGTAGGGTTATAGTTAGATATATAATTTATTATGGGTGGGATAATGTTAAGAGGGATGATATTTAAGTAGGGGGGGGGGTAAGAGTAGTGAGGTAGGATATTTTTAGGGGAGTTAGGGGAGTTTAATAATATGGAGATAGATAATGATGTGTGAGAGTGGGTTAGGGGTTAAAATTGAGAGTAGATTGGTTTATTCAATGTTATAAGTATTATGTAGGGGTGTGTTAGATGTGATGTTATGAAATTGTGAGTTGGTATGGGAGGAGGGAAATATAGGGATGGTATGGAATAGATAAGGAATGTATTTGGTATTTTATTAGGGTTGGGTGTGATAGGATTTGGAAGTTAAGATTGTAAAAGTGGTTGAGTTTTTGTGGGAGGGATATTTTAGGTGGGTAATA